CTGGCTGGAGACTGACCAGTATATACATATTGTGAGTCCATGGATCTGTAGAACTGCTCATCCTTAATTAAAATGAACCCATCATATCCCTGATTTGAAGTACATGAAAGGGTCACAGATGTTCCAAAGGTTACAACAGGGTTTGGCAGGGCAGACAGGGTGGGTTTGGTGTAGACACCTAGGAGAGATACATATAGACTATTAAATGGGTTCACACAGTCTGGATTGTCCCCTAGACATGAGCAATGAGTGGGGATACATTCAGAGAAGACTTTTCTAGAGAGTCACATCCGGGGATTCATATGATTCCTGAGTATCCACTCACCTGTCACCACCAGCTCCAGGGGGTCACTGTGTTCTGATGTGCCATCAGGGCTTTTATAATAACACCAATACTGGCCTGCTTCATGACTTTTAATGGATGAGATAAAGATCTTGTCCTTTTTTTCAGTGTCTTCATGAGCTGTTGGTACCTGGGAATCTGGGTTACCTTCTTTATAGAAATGGTATTCCTGGGCATCTAAGGGGCCTTCACAAAGTAGAGTTACCTCCTTCCCAATGGTTACCTCATTACTTGGCACAGCTCTGAGTGTGGGTTTTGAGAGACCCCCTGAAAACAAAACAAAAGAAAAACAAAAAAACAAAACAAAGCAATGCAAACAAACAACAATAGCAACCAAAAATGGGAGCTGGGTCAGAGGACATCCTACTTAATTCCAAGCTCTCAATCTCAGGAACTTGCAGGCAACACCAGCATCAGCCCACACCAACTCTTCTCTATCTCTTTTCTTCAGAGTTCACCATTGATTCCCACTGAGTGTACACACCCTAGAAAAGCTGGGAAGACACTCACCTGCCAGCACTGGGTTCCTGGGGCCCAGACTCAGTCCTGCAAGAGAGTTACCTGTGAGTGTATGTCCTTGAAGCCTGAGCAGGACTACCAATTCCAGGTGCCTTCTGAGGTACTGAGAGACCATGATGGATTACTGCTCAACTGTGAGGAAGACTACTTCTTAGAACAGAATTCTCTCTCCACAACTTCATTTCTCACCAACAAAGCAGAACTATTATGGATTACTGCTCAACTGTGAGGTAGACTACTTCTTAGAACAGAATTCTCTCTTCACAACGTCATTTCTCACCAAGACAAAGCAGAACTATGAGGGTGGGGATCATAGCATCTTCCAGTTGCCAAAAGTTCGCAGATGGTTGGTCCTCTTGCAAAAAGAACAGACACAAAGTATATTGCCTGTGCAGTATGGTGCCTCCTTGTCGAGAGTATGTTATACAGGCAGTCCTTTCAAAAACAGGAACTGCTCTTTCTAGGCAAGTGGCTTTTATTTTCCCACTGCTGTGAAGGGCGTGGCTGCAAAACATGTGGTCTCTGTTCCTGTGGGTTTCTTTGGTTTTGGTTTTGGTTTCTGACAGGAAGCCTCCTGAAATCGGGCAGGTCTAAATCTCCTCCCCTTTCTCGGTCAGCTTCTTGTGTGCTAGGTTTACAAACCCATATCTGATTGTGGTCTCCTTTTGGAGAGCATCTCCCATATACTCATCTATATTTGCTTGCATGGTCCTCTTCACCAAAGACTTGACTTAACTAGAAATAATCCTGGTATCTTCCTGAACCTGGTATCACCTGCAGGTGAGGGTGCTCAGAGCTAATCTTTTCCTGTCAGCGTTTCTGTTTGTTCCTCTATCATTTCAGCCAGACCACACTCATAATGCTGTAGGTTCCTTATCATGGGCAGGTCCTTACCCAGCCTTAGATATGCTTTGGGTATTTTGTATGAATTTTTCTTGGGGATACATGAATACTGAATGGCTACTTCCCCAAGAAGGAACATCAATGACAAAGACATAGACATGATTCTATCCAAATCAAGTGGGTGAAACAATGAGTTTTATAAGTGATCCTTAGAGGGATATGAGCAAACATTTTCAAATATGTTTCTTTTTTTCGAGACAGGGTCTCAGTGTTTACCTCTGGGTGTTCTTGAACTCACTCTGTAGAAAAGATGGACCGTGTACTCATGAAACCTGAGGGAAGAATTCCCACAAGTTATATCTGGTTTATCACTGGAGGGTTAGCATCTAGCCTTGATCTGCCTTTTGTGTTTGTTACCCCTGTCTCCATATCTTGTGTTTGAAGATTTATCTGAGAGTTTTCCTAGGGCATCAAAGCCTATGCAAACTAGTAAAAAAATCCAATCCCCCTCCAAAAAACCTATGGTAAAAATGAGAATTGCATTTGGCATTATCTCTCTTGGGGGCTTAGGACAAAGATATTTGTGTATGGAATTGACTTGTTAAAGGTGTGATTTGTAAAACAATAAAAAGACCCTTTACTCACCAAGGCTGGTTCAGTCCATAGAAGTGAATCCACCCTACACCTAGAAAAGGATAAGAATTCATCCTTGATGTGCATCCATACAACTTTTCTCATATCTGCCTGGACCTATAACCACACTCAATATACAAGATATTAATGCCCAATGTGGAGCTTAATGTTTTGGGAATGCCTGTGCTACTGCCACCCATTCACCAAATCCGAGTGAGGGGCTGTGGATTAAAAAATAACAGACAAGAGACAGCAAGTCATTTGCCACAGCAGAATGCCGAATGCTGTTTATTGAAAGAGGAAGGAAACCTTAAATACAGGCTTACAGTGCAATGGAGGATCCCCGGAGGGCAGAAGTTCGATGCCCAATGTTGTACATTCTTGCATCTAAGCTGTTTACACCAAATGCAGGATACAGGAACAAAGAACCTCCAGTGATCATTCAGTAAGAAGGAAACCAGCAGGAA